GATTCACACGTAAGTCAGCATCCCCATGGTGAACCTCGTCGAATAGGGCGTTCGACCCGTTGTACTCGTGCAAACGCCTTAGAGGGTTGGAGTTCCAAGGCACTGAACATAAGCTAGTGACTCCGTGATTAGAGCCTTTCGACCCGCAATCGAGGCCTCACCGGGACGACAGCAGATGCTTGTCGATGGTTGGATATCAACTGCCTAGATTTTATCCACTTTCCTTGAATATTTTATGGTGTGAATTAATCGACTACAGAGAAAAAAATGGGCAGTAACATAGATAACCAAAGGCGCGTTGCCTACAGCCTACTGCAGTCAGCCAGCCATGCGCGCACAAACTTTATCTTCCACTGCGGCGCAGTTAGCACCTCGCTTTTCGCGTGACGGGCTTTTCGAGGTAGGAAAGTAAGTCCACTGCACGAGGCACACACACACACACTTCGAGTACATTAAGAAAAAAATACAGCGAAGGTTGGGCGCCTGAATAAAGAGAAAGAGTTGAGGACAACACAAAAATGCGCAGTGGCGTCGAAGCGGGGGAGGGGGAAGCAGTTGTGATAAGGTGCGCCAACGTGCGGCGCAAGATGGCCACTAGCGATAATTTTTGGGGCTTTTTAAGGCAGGGTTTCGGTAAGACGAGTAGTCTGTCCAAAAACAAAGAATATGCGGCGGGAGGAGAAAGCTATCGTAGCGCTTCCGATTTTTATTAGCACTTTTAAATACCTGTAGTACGGCATATTCGACTCAAAAACTTCACAGCATTATTAGGGGGAGTTATAGAGGAAAGACAATAACATGAGTTACCAAAGAATGCAGCAAGAAACTAACCCTTCCGATGTTTGTTTTTGAAGACCATAATCTTCCAGAAAAACCGTTCAGTTGTAAATGTTACTATCACGAATCGGTAAAAGCGCGCATCTCGCATAAATTGACTTCAGAAAGGGGAGGAGGGTGAGCCACATAGGGGCGCGTACCAAACGACAACAAAGAATATAACCGGCAAA